CCCAGGTTCGATTCTGGTCAAGGGCATGTACCTTGGTTGCGGGCACATCCCCAGTAGGGGGTGTGCAGGAGGCAGCTGATCGATGTTTCTCTCTCATGGATATTTCTAACTCTCTATCCCTCTCCCTTCTTCTCTGTAAAAAATCAATACAATATATTTTTAAAAAATAAATAAAAGTTAATAGTATAATGATAAGGCCCTTGTGATCAGGACCATGTCTAGGTCTCTAATCTCACCAGTTCTCATCTTCCTATAAATCAGCTAAAATACTTCTGATTTTCTGAGAGCATCAAATTCTCTTTCTCTGTTCTCCCTCCAACCCCTCTGAGCTGAAGTTGGGCCAGGGGCCTAGTTCTTTCCCATTGGATCTCCAACAGCTAGACAGTATTTTGAAAGAATGAATGAATGAGAAAGGCATTGCAACTGTTTTTGTTTTTGTTTTGGGGGAGAGAGAGAGAGACAGAGGGACAGACAGAGAGGAAGAAACATCTGTTTGTTATTCCACTTAGTTACGCATTCATTGGTTGATTCTCGTATGTGCCCTGACCGGGAATCAAACCCACCACCGTGGTGATTCAGGACAACTCTCTAACCAACTGAGCTCCCTGGCCAGGGCCTGGGTTTTAATGGATGAATAAAAGTTTTCCAGGTAAAGGCGTGATGGAGGCAGGGCTATAAAAGAGCTGGGTCCGTCTTGGGCTGGAGAACAGGAGGGAGGTGAGGTTGGAGAGGAAGGCTGGTTCAAGCCAGATGTTTCTGTGTGGGCAAAGGGTATTCATGAGGAAGGCGTTTGTGACAGTGGCAGCTGCTTGCAGGAGAGAATAAGGCTGGGAGCTGGGTATGTGGCGAAGCTCCAGGGGAACAATGAAGAGGCCTGAACCAGGGCAGTAGCTGTGGGAATAGAATGAAGAGGGAAGATTTGAGAGAAATAATATGATCTCCTAAACACTTTTAGTGAATGCCTCCTCGGAAAGACGGTAGGGGATTGTGGGCATAAAAAGCCGAAGTAGCATTTCCCCCTGCCTTCAAGTAGCTCAAATCCTAGGAGAGACAGACAGACTTATGCCAGAGGCAGGTCCATCCTTGCTGCTTGACACAGTCGCTGCAGGGGAGAAACATCTGCACAGCATATGTTTCAAGGGGCCTGGAGTATATGGCATACTGTTCTTAATATGTTTGCTCACCTTCTTGGCGCTATGTGTTTTAACCAAGGTCACCCGTCTCATAGAGAGAGCTCTATATGTGTAAAATCAGCAAATTAACGTATTATGCATTTCTGAGTGTGCCTGTCACCTACCCCAAAGCTCTTTGTAAGTTCTCAAATTTTTATTTGGTTAAAACACACTACAGTCTATTTCCACAACCTACCAACCTTAGAGGCAGTATAGGTTAGAGCAGGAGTGGGGAACATCTGGCCCTCGGGCCGTACAAGGCCCTCAAAATAATTGGTCTGGCCCTGCCAAGTCATTAGGGGTGAGTTGATTAAATGTTTGACCAAAATATAAAAGGCTGATTTTTAAGTTGATACTTTTGTATGGCCTGGGAATGATGTTATAAATATCCAGATGGTCCTTGACAGAAAAAAGATTCCCCACCCCTCGAGAGGTTTAGACGTAGCAGCCCCTGATTTTGGACAAGTTATTGAATTCTCTTAGCCCAAGCCCAAGTTAGCTATCAGATCAAGATGAAGGAGACTGGAACATGGGGGAAAAAGAAGGTGGAGGTGTGGGTGTGAGCAAGAAGATCCATTAGGGCCTTGTGAGCTACCATAAGGGTTTGGACTTTGTTATTAGTCCAGTGAGAACAGGGGTCCTCAAACTTTTTAAACGGGGCCAGTTCACTGTCCCTCAGACCATTGGAGGGCCGGACTATAGTTTAAAAAAAAACTATGAACAAATTCCTATGCACACTGCCCATATCTTATTTTGAAGTAAAAAAACAAAACGGGAACAAATACAATATTTGTATTTGCCTGTGGTCCGCGGGCCGTAGTTTGAGGACCCCTGAGTGAGAAGCTCTGAGGTGGTTTTTTGGTCCTAACGTATTACTACTTTTCAATTGAGATGTAATCGGACTGTAATAAATGCAAAGTTCCTAAGTGTTGAGTTCCATGAGTTTTGAGAATTGTATACATCTGTATAACCACCACCTAAAAGAAGACACATCATTTTCTTTTTCTTGAATGATTTCAGAGAGGAAGGGAGAGGGAGAGAGAGATAGAAACATCAATGATGAGAGAGAACCATTGATCTGCTGCCTCCTGCACATCCTGCACTGAGGCATGTGCCCTTGACTGGAATTGAACCCGGGACCCTTCAGTCCTCAGGCCAATGCTCTATCCACTGAGCCAAACCTGCTAGGGCAAGACACATCATTTCTATCACCCCAGAACGGTCCTGCCTGTCTCTTTCCAGCCATTCGCCCCGTGTCCAGAGTTCTGAAGGGTTTTCTACACTAATAAAAGAGAAACATGGTAATTGGCGTAGGACCGCTACCCTTCCCATTGCCTAATCCCCCTGTCACTCACAGAGTAGGGCCGAGATATGCAAATTAACTGGCAGCCAAGTTGGTGGCTGGCAGCCAGGCAGCTGTTGCGAAGGGGAGGCTTGCTTGCTTCAGTGACTGAGGACTGCAACGTTCCCTGCCTGACTTGCCGGCCTCTCAGCTGCAACTCTAAGCAACTATGTTGCGAATAAAGAAGCTTAAAAACCCCAGAAACCTGCTTTACTCAGTGAGCTTCAGCCAGCCAGACCGCAACATTGTATCAAATACAGATGGTAAACAAAGGCCAGAAACCTGTTTTCAGCAGATGAGGCCTCAGAGCTAAAGCTGGCCCAGAATAAAAAAAAAAGAAAAAGAAAAAAAGGAGCGGTTGGGAGCTTCAGTTCCAGCCTGAAAACAGCCCTCAGCCCGACGGGCCAGGCCCCCCAGTGGGGACCCCCACCCTGAAGGGTGTGGGACCAGCTGCAAACAGCCATCACCCCTTCACCCAGACTGGCCAGGAACCCCACTGGGGACCCCCGCCCTGATCCAGGACACCCTTCAGGGCAAACCAGCCAGCCCCACCCATGCACCAGGCTTCTATTCTATATAGTAAAACGGTAATATGCCTCCCAGTACCGGGATCAGCGGAGCTGAGAGGCCTCCCGGCACTGGGATCAGTGTGACATGGGGCAGCGCCCAAACCCCCTGATCGCCCTGCAGCTCTGTGTGTGACAGGGGGCGGCGCTGCAACCTCCCCATCGACCCTGCCTTGAGTGTGACAGGGGGCAGTGCCCCAACCCCGCAATCGGTCCTACCCTGAGCGTGACTGAGAGTGGCATCGAAACCTCCCAATCTGCCCTGCTCTGTGCATGACAGGGGGCGGTGCCCCAACTCCCCAATCGGCCCTGCTCTGAGCCCCACCAGGCGCTGCACCTAGGGATTGGGCCTGCCCTCTGCCACCCGGGAGCTGGCCTAAGCCAGCAGGTCGTTATCTCCCGAGGGGGCCCAGACTGCAAGAGGGCACAGGCCGGTCTGAGGGACCCCTCCTTCCTCCGAGTGCACAAATTTTTGTGCACCAGGCCTCTAGTATGTAGTATATTGTGTTTGCGTTTTGAAGGGATCACTCTGGGTACAGAGCAGAAGACAGCCTGAGACCAGCAAGGAGAGTATGGCACTGGCAGAGCTGGCTGGCTGTACTGAGGTCGCCTAGCAACCAGAGAGCGTGGTGCATGGGTTGACAGTTCAGCGTGGGGGAAGGCGGTATAGGCCCCGCCCCATCCCATCTAGGCCCCGCCTCACCCCGCTCCGCGAAGGAGCCAGTAGGCAGCGCCGCCCCACGTCGAGGGGCGGGCACAGGCTTCTTATTGGTCGGTTTTCCGGAAGCCATAGGATTCGGAATCTCGCCCGGAGTCGTGCGACCGCCGGCTGCGTGTGGGTGCGTGGTG